AGGGTTGCACAGCTAGTAACTGATGAAAAAGGGACTTGAAGTCTGGTAAATCTGAGTCCAATACCCGAGCTAACAATCACAGTTAACATGTACTGAATGCATTATTTCATTTAATCTTCATATTTATTTAAATATATGATACAGACTGGCAAACTGAGCTCAGAAGGTATTGAACGGCAGGCAGAGATTTGTACCCAATGCTTCTTGACTCTCTTCACTCTCCTTCCCTGCCTAAACTACTTGTCTTAATATGCTTTGTCCTTACTTCTCCATCCCCACTGCTGCTGCCGCATTCTAGGACCTCGCTTTTCAGCTAAACAATTGCAATGGGCCCTAATACTCTCCCAGCCCAGGTCTCTCCTGTGACACCATGAGTCCCTTGCACTACCTCATTGTGATCCTCCTCTGCTCCTTGACCACAAAACTGCCCTGCTTGGAAGCCTGCAGCGGTCCCTTCCTTAGACTGGCCATTTCTCAGAGACCCTGTGTTTCCACCATGCTGAAGTAGCAGTAATAGAAAGACAATGTCCTACATAGGGCAACCCAAGGCTGGTACTCAGTTAGCATTGTTAAAAATCTGTCCTCTCACATCCTTATTTTTGCCTTCCCTCTGCACCATTCTCTAATTTATTCCGTCATCTGGAGTAATTATATCAATTACTCCTGCTTTCAACTGCCCGATCCTCAGACTCTCCACACATTTCCAAGCATCACTACAGCCCTTCATTGTAACACATCAGATTCACTGCAGAATTTGTTTCCTCCCAAATGTCTGACTTCTCCCCATCTCCTAGCAGGGATACCACACTTACCTGTCTTCCAATCCTTAAACCTTAGGGTTACCTTTTGTTTTAAATGTTATAAAAGTAACGATGCTCATCACAGGAAATTCGAACAGTTCAAAAGTTAGAAAGAGAAAAGTAAAAGCCTACATACTCCCTCCCAATTCTGAAAGGTAACCCCTTTAACAAGATTTTGCGTCTTTTCAGAAAGTATTTCCCCAACCCTTCTGTACATATATATACTCTATATTTGTGCTTTTTTTTTTTTTTAACTCAAAGAGAAGCATACTTTACATTCCATAGTACAACTTGCTTTTTTCACTTAACAGTGTGTCTTCGCCTTGTTTACATATCTACATATACAGGCCTACTTTGTTCTTCTAATGGTGTCATAGTGTGTCATTGTATGGATGAACTGAGATATTTTTCAAAAGGCTGGAGTCATCTTTGAAGCCACTCTGTCTCCATCGAATATTCAGCAAGTTCTCCAAGATGTCACTTTTTTCTCTGCAAATCTCCCTATTCTTCTCCCCTGTCTCTCTATTCCTTCTCTTATCCTGACCCTGCTAATCAGACAGTCTCTCTTGCTGTCTCAATCACTGATGCGTCCTACTCCTGAATGTTCACTGTGGGGTAACAGAGTCCCTCTCCACACCCACAGCTTCACCCACTCCTTCTTCCAGGTCAAAGGCCTGCCAACCTTAATTTGCCTCTATGAGATGAACTCCTGCATAAATCAAACTTCTATTAGTTACATTCTACTTTAGCTTTTCTTTTTTTTTTTTTTTTTAGATGGAGTCTTGCTCTGTCGCCCAGGCTGGAGTGTAGTGGCACGATCTTGGCTCACTGCCATCTCTGCCTCCCGGGTTCAAGCAATTCTTCTGCCTCAGCCTCCTGAGTAGCTGGGACTACAGGTGCACGCCACCACAACCAGTTAATTTTTGTATTTTTAGTAGAGACGGGGTTTCACCATATTGGCCAGACTGGTCTCGAACTCCTGACCTCGTGATCCGCCCGCCTCGGCCTCCCAAAGAGCTGGGATTACAGGCATGAGCCACCGCGCCCGTCCCATTCTAGCTTTTCTTTTGAAAGGAATTATGTGCCAAATATTTATTCAAGCAAATAACCTTCCCGTGGATTTGTTCACTTCTATTAAGTGGCTTACTCCTGTAACACACATACACATGCGCATACACATCACTGCCCTGTTAGTAACTCCCCTGTTAGCTGAGGGGCCATGGTAGTGGAACTTGAGCTCTGGGCCCCTAGCCAGCAGGACTGAGTTCCACCCAAACTTTGACCTAGGAAAAGTAATTTTTCCCTTTTCTGAACTCTGTTTTCTCTTCTGCCAAGTGGAGATGACAGTATCAGCCTCTTAGAAGTGTGGGGAGAATTAAGGGAGACATGAACATCAAAACTTTGAAATAAGAACACACAACATACATGGAGAATCATTACTCTTTTCCTCTAGGTTAGGGGTTGCAAACCCAGATACTGACAGGGGCTGTGCGCAATGTGTATGGGAATGGGATGCATGATATTTGGGAGTGGTGAGGACTGTGAACACTCTAGAACACAGGCTGTCTGTCCTAGTCAGCGTGGGGCACCATGACAATACCACAGTCTGGGGACATGCAACAATAGACATTTATTTCTCACGATCCCTAGAGGCTGGAAGCCTGTCATCAAGGTGTCTGAGTGTTGGTTTCTTCTGAGTCCTCTCTCCGTGGCTTGCAGGTGGCCATGATCTGCTGTGTCTTCACATGGTTGTCACTCTGTGTATGTCTGTGTCCTGATCTCCTCTTCATATAACGACACCACTCATACTGGATTAGGGCCTACCCATATGACTCATTTTACCTTGGTTACCATTTTTAAGGTTCTATCTCTAAATGCAGTCCCATTCTGAGAATCTGAGAGTTAGGACTTCAGTGTGCGAATTCTGGGGAGACACAAGTCAGCCTGTAATACCTTGTCTCAAGGGGCAGCTACCTGGTGACCTGCGTAAATGCAGGCTCAGTGCTGCCCAGATCCTTCTGCTGCTCAAGAAAAGCTGCAAACATCGATGTTAATATAAAACCTCCCAAGTTTTACATTGGCAACAATTTCCAATTAAAAACCCAAAACAAAAAGTACAGAGTAGTCTGTGATCCACGTGAGGCCACTGATACGCCAATCGGCCCCTGTTTGTCTAGGCTCTAATTTCCTCAGTGGCAGGGGCATGTTCCATAGCTTTTTAATCCTTCTCAGCCAGTCTGTGCACATTGTTTATTCTCTCTCTCTCTTTTTTTTTTTTTTTGACAATGTCTTGCTCTGTTGCCCCGGTTGAAGTGCAGTGGCACTATCTCTGCTCACTGCAGCCTCTGCCTCCTGGGCTCAAGCGATTTTTCCCCCTCAGCCTCCCAAGTAACTGGGACTACAGGCAGGCACCACGACGCCCAGCTAATTTTCGTAGTTTTTATAGAGACGAGGTTTCGCCATGTTGTCCAGGCTGGTCTCGAACTCCTGGGCTCAGGCAATCCACCTGCGTTGGCCTCCGAAAGTGCTGGGATTACAGGCATGAGCCGCTGCGCTCAGCCTACACATTGTAATATTAACAAAAAGTTAAAAGCTAATCATTGAATGACTAAATTTGAATTTTACAATCTTGTTGAAAGTAGGGCACACCTGTAGAAATCCTGTACCTCTTTGCTTTCATGCCAAGCTATAAAATCGCATCAGCCATTGTAACTGCCTTCATAGCCATTGATGCCAAAGTTTGCAAATGTTCAGCTCCTCACAGGGTCGCTATTACAGCCACTTTACGGATGGGGAAACAGCAGACCCAGGTCTACCCAGGTCTGCTTGTTTATTTTCATGAGTGTGACAACCTTCTCCCATGACATCCTCTCTCTCTTTGTTCTCAGGAATGATTATTGTATCAAAAATCACAACTGGTACTGAGTGCTTACTGTGGGCTTGTCGCTGCATTATCTCATTCAATATTCACAATTACTCTATAAGGGAGGTGTGAGCAGTCAAATTACTTGAGGGAGGCATTCCTAAAGACCTCAAATAATTCAAAACTGGTGTCATTAAAAGCTCACCTGCTGAATGGAAAACCAAACATCCTATGTTCTCACTCATAAGTGGGAGCTAAGCTATGAGGATGCAAAGGCATGAGAATGACACAGTGGACTTTGGGGACTTCAGGGGAAAGGGTGAAAGAGGGGTGAGGGATGAAAGACTACAAATAGGGTACAGTGTATACTGCTCAGGTGATGGGTGCACCAAAATCTCACAAATCACCACTAAAGAACTTACTCGTGTAACCAAACACCACCTGTTCCCCAATAAACTATGGAAATTTTTAAAAAGTTAAAAAAAAAAATAGCTCACCTGCTGAAGAATGGTAGATATTTCTGATTACCTGTTAGGACAGTGCTGTTATGTGGCTCTAGCATAAACACAGTTTACAATTTACAATCCACACTGCCTTACAAGATTCTTGACAACTTTTAACTTGGGAAAATTGGGGTTATTTCAGATTTCACACATAAAGTGAAACAATAAATATTCAAATTCAAATAAGACCATATATTATTATTTTTCTCATTTTACAGACAAAGAAACTGAGACCTAGAGAGATTAAATAACTTGCCCAAGGTCAAACAGCTGGAAAATGACTTCACCACCAGACCAGCTCATGCTTCTCTAAGGGTAGACCTGTGGCCGGGCGCGGTGGCTCAAGCCTGTAATCCCAGCACTTTGGGAGGCCGAGACGGGCGGATCACGAGGTCAGGAGATCGAGACCATCCTGGTTAACATAGGTGAAACCCCGTCTCTACTAAAAATACAAAAAACTAGCCGGGCAAAGTGGCCGGGTCCTGTACGTCCCAGCTACTCGGGAGGCTGAGGCAGGAGAATGGCGTGAACCCAAGAGGTGGAGCTTGCAGTGAGCTGAGATCCGGCTACTGCACTCACGCCTGGGACAGAGCAAGACTCCGTCTCAAAAAAAAAAAAAAAAAAAAAGGTAGACCTGTATCTGATTTTTTTTCTTTGTAGAGCTGGTGGGGTGAGGGGAGGGGGGATCTCACTTGTTGCCCAGACGGGTCTCACTTTGTTGGCCAGACTGGTCTCGAACTCCTGTCTCTCAAGTGATCCCCCACGCGGCACCTCGGCCTCCCAAAGTACCAGCATTCTGGATGCTGAGCCACCCGTATCAGAAGTTTAGGGTTACTCTGAACGCCCATCAAGGCCTGACCAGAAATGACTCCATGGAAGTCCTTGGGCTCACCCAGAAAAGTCAAGGAAAACTTAGCCTTTTCTCCCTGACCTCTTCAAAGTTCAGAATTTGTTTCTCTCCCTCAGTTCTTAGATCTTGTAGTCCCTTTTATGTCATTCCCAGGGATTGTTGTCTAACCCCAAAATTTCCTTCCCCTGCCACCTGCCTGGTGTTGGATGCTGTTACATCTAGATGCCGTTGGGCGCCTATTACAAAGGAAAAGGAGAGTGAGGCTCTTTTTTCCTGGTCACACAGGTGTGCCGGCTGGATGCTCAGGTAAGCAGATCATTATCACCTGCCGAGGTAGTTCTAGGGATCAGAGTGGGCCCTACAGGAGCAGCAACTACATCTTTTCACCTCCGAATCCCCAGTGTCCGGCCCCAAAGGCAATAATAATAAACCATACTATTTATTGGGTAGCCATGTGCCAGGCCACAGTATCATGCACACATGCACACCTGATATCCCATTTGGCCCTGTCACTTGATGAGATAAGCACCATAACGTTTCTTCCCTGGTCTCTGTATTATGGAGCATGGACACGCCAGGGGGCTCAAAGTTGTGAAGCCAAGACAACACCCCATCCTTCCCTCAGAGCAGAAACAGCAGGGCAGGAACAAAGGCTCAGCCTCCCTAGGACCTTTTTTTTTTTTTTTTGGTAGCACCTGACAGAGCCATAACTCAAACTAACTTAAGTGAAAATGGGAGTTTATGAGAAGCTACCGGAGTCTCTACCTGAAATGCATGCAGGACTCAGGGTGGCAGATCAGGACTGGCTTTTGTTAGTTCAACTGCAGTTAGTGGCAATTACAATTTTAAACAAGGTCTTAAAATTTGTATTGTCACATTCAATATCCATTATCTTGTTTGATTTTTGGAATGGCAAGTAATAATAAAATAATAGAAGCTAATGCTTTTATACCTCTTGCCATATGCCAGGTCTTATTCTAGAAACATTAAATTCTCGTAACAACTGTCTAAGGTAGGTTCTATTATAATTGTGTTCATGTTGGAGAGGAGGAGACTGAAGGGGAGAGATTAAATAACGTGTGAAGGTACTACAGCTAGTTCATGGCATCTGAACCCATACAGCTATGCTGGAGCTGTTGTAGAAGCCAGCATGCGGCTATTGAAGACTTGAAATGCTCCAGTCTGATTTGAGATCTGCTGCAAGTGTGAAATACATCACTAGGCTTCAAAGACTTAGTACTAAGAATGTACAATGTCTCATTAATAATTTTTATGGTGATGACATGTTGAAATGATGATATTTGGGAAGCAATGGGCTAAATAGCATTGAAATTAATTTCACCTGCTTCTTTTTTACTTTGTTAATGTGACTACAAGACAAACTGACACGTGTGACTTGCATCGTTTTCCTATTGGGCCGAGCTGTTCACACCCACTCCCCCACTGCTGTGGTCAGGCACGTGGAGACGGGCCCTGGGGATGCGATACGGGGATGTGAACACCCTCAGCCGCCTTCTCTCCCCCTCACATCTCTCACAGCTGCTGCATTCTTCTCTCCCACGGCAGTCCTTGGTCTCCACGCGGCAGAAAACAGCTGTAGACAATGCCAAAGCTTGATGGCTTTGTCTTCGGCCACTCCAGAGCCTGACTCTTTCCCTCATTGTGCAGAGGAGGCAGCTGAGGCTCAGAGGTGCAGCAGGCCAGGGCCCCGGGGGTGGGCTCCACTGCCCACCACGTTATGCACCACGTTTGTCGTTTTGTAAAGGCTGGGAGTGTATCTATTAGAAGGTATAAGTCTTCAGCTTTAACACACGGGCTGATTTCCTGTGTGCTTTCAAGAATTCTTGCTGAGACAAACCCCTGGCTTCCGAGGCCTTGTTAGATCATGATGTGTCCTTGGATCTCATTTTCTAGGCTGAGCCAGAAATGAAGAGAGAGAAAGAGAGAAAATAGCAGATGAAATATTTTCTGAGGCATCCTGGCAAGTGGGCCCCACGACTTTTGAAGCCTCTGTATTTAGACTGTGGATTCTGGACAGTTTCCAAATGGACACTGATCTTGAGATCTGGAGAGAGGGGACATTTCGTGAGCACTGTGTGAAGAGCGGCAGCCAGCCGCTTTTTCCCTCCAAGGATCTCTTTAGCTTTTTAGAGAAGCTGGAGAGGACTGTTTCCAATTTACTTCCTGGAATTCGGGGAGGGCGTGGAATGTTTTTTATTATAGTATTCTATTCTCCCATCAAAGCGGATTTTCAGCAAGCTTCATCCGCAAGCAAGCCTTGTCCCTTTTCACACCAAACACCGGGAGAATTGCCCTGCTGGGCGAGATTTGGGTGTCCTCCTCCACCCAGGATGAGGTCTCCCCTGAAACACTCCAGGGGCTCCCAGTGGGAGTTCAGGACTATGATCCCTTAGTTCAGTTGCAACTAGTGACAATTACAATTTTAAATATGGCTCTAACTTTTGTATCATGTTTTGTTTTCAAATCCACTATCTTTTTTGATTCTCTGAATAACCCTGTAAGGCAGACTGGGCAAATGTTAATATGTCCATTTTACAGGTGAGGAAATGAAGGCCCAGATAAGATGAAATGACTTTTTCACAGTCACATGATTAGTAAGTTACAAAACTAGGACTGGGACCCCGGTCTTCAGAATCCAAGCCCAGTCATTGCACTGAGTTTTCCTCAGTGACCAAGTGAGGCTTTGTCATCCACACTTTTATTGAGACCCTTGTGATCCCCTTGCTTTATAAATTGTAATAATACCGGTGGGCTGGGGAGGTCCTCAAACGCCAGTGGGACCTCAACCCCAGCCAGTGTCCAGGCTTTTGACACCATCTCAAGAAGGAATTCAAGGATGAGTTAGAAAATTGTGAAATTATGGTGACTTATTGCAAGGGGGAAAAGTACACACTCAGGAAAGGGGGCTGTGGGCGTTCTCAAGAGGGAGTTGGGCAGAGGGGTTTGGGGTTTCTATCTTTACGGGTTTCTTTAACCAACAGGTGGAATATTCATGAAAATTCCTGGAAAAAGGTGGAGATTTCCCAGAACTGTGGTGCCACCCATTTCTACACCAAATATGGGTGTTCTTGGAGCTGTCGTGGCACTGGTGGGTGTGTGATTGAGTACATGAACAAACGTATAAAGAGGTCCTGGGTGAAATCTCGATCAAATTCATCACCATGTTGGGTCCAGTGGGTCTTAGCCAGCTTGGTCCACACTCTGTTTTTCAGGGTCTTATCGGCCTATACAGCCTCTAGTCATGTCAAACTGCTGCCTGGAATTTTTCTCCTGTGACCACCCTGGATTATTCCTGTCTCTGTAAGAGTGGCCAGTTCATTCAAGGTTGTTCAACAGCTGTGTGTTGAGTAGTTACTCTATGCAGGTGCTGCGCTAGGCTCCGGCAGCCCAACTGAGAACAACATGCAGGGCCCATACTTTCCCGGACCTTCCATTCCAGGGAAAGAGCCAGACAGTTAACAAGTCAAGAAACAAACAAATGCATAATCACAAATTGGGCCAGATGCCTTGAAAGAACAGGATGGGATAAGAGCATATGCAGGGTGGGTGGAATGCTTTGGATCACATGATCAGGGCAGGCCCCTCTGAGGAGATGACATGAGACCTGAGACTTGAAGGATGAGGCTGGCAGCTACCTGAGGGCTTCCCGGAGGAGGTGAAGGATTGGGGGCATTTTAGGCACAGTTTTTGCCAACCATGGAGCTTTTACAGTGTCAAACACTGGACTAGATAGAATCTTTGAACGCGTTCCTTCACTCATTTCTCACACAAACTCCCTGAGGTAGGTATACTATCATTTTCATTGCATAGTTGAGGGAACCAAGTGCTGGGTGTTCCGTGGCTCTTAACCACGGAGTTAAATGCCACTCCTACCTGTCAATGTGTCAAAACCTGATAACCAACAGGTCAGATTTATTTGAGCGTAATTTACATCTTCCAATCTGCAAGGGGAGATTGTTCAGCACCCAGGCCTAGCAGACTTGCTCAAGACAAGTATTCCTGGAACTTCTACTGGCAGACACATTCAGGAAGCATCAGTGAGAGGCGCACGTCCCCACTTCTGGCCCTTCTCACATCACAGTCTGGTCACAGAGCCCTTGGGAATAAACCAGGGGGCCACGTCCTGTGGCCAGAAGGAAGACTTTCCTGACAGTAGACTCAGGCTGTGGCACTTCAGCTCCTAGTGCTTTTCTAGAACATGTGTACTGATGAATCATTAGCTACTTAACAGAGAGATGAGAAGCCGGATTTAAGAACTCATCCATGTTCAGCCAGGCTCGGTGGCTCATGCCTGTAATCCCAGTACTTTGAGGTGAGGGAGGCAGATCATGAAGTCAGGAGTTCGAGACCAGCCTGGCCAGCATAGTGAAACCCAGTCTCTACTAAAAATACGAAAAATTAGCCGGGCATGGTGGCATGCGCCTGTAGTCCCAGCTACTCGGGAGCCTGGGGCAGAAGAATTGCTTGAACCCAGCAGGCGGAAGTTGCAGTGAGCCGAGATTGTGCCACTGCACTCCAGCCTGGCAACAGAGCGAGACTCCATCTCAAAAAAATAAGAAATAAATAAAAAGAAAAAGAACTCGTCCGAGTTTAGCAACCCATGATTCTATTTCTGGGGTTTAACCAACTAATATTTTTTATCCCTTTAGCAGGAAGGCTCTAATGAAGGCGTCCCTATTCAACTAACACCTTCCCACCCCCAGAAAGGACAATTTAGGAACTGAGATTGTTTTTTTAAAGGTGAGAAAGGACTAATACTTACTTCTCTTCTGGTTAATCGGACAGCTCTCTGTGGAGCACCTGCTATATGTGAGGCATTCTGCAAGGCTGGCCCCACCCTATGGGCCAGAGAGGGAAAGACCTAGCCCCTGTACTGTAAGGGGTCAAAAGCAAGGAGGGATTGGATCTGATCTGGGTTAGAAAAGCAGAGGAAAAAAGAACTGATTTGTATCAAGGGGTGTCAGTGCTCTCTCTTCTGGATTTCAGCCACTGCCTGGTTTTCTCTTCGCTGTGGATTTTCTTGAAGGCAGAATCCGCGTCTCCAACACTTACTAATTAAGCAAATATTTCTTGAACATCCACTGTGTGTGAGGAAGTTTGAAGCCAGGGGGCCAGCTGGGGTCCCTGTACTCATGGAGCTTACATTTTAGTGGAGACACATGGGGGAGGCAACCAAGTAAAGTGAATATGGGTGAGTGGAAAGAGCTGGGAAAAGGGAGCTTGCAGAAAGGGGGCGCTGGCTGAGAGGTCACGTCAGGGAATGCCTGGAGGAAGTGACATTTAAACTGAAATACAGCAGATAAAGAGCCAGCAAAGCAAGAGGGTGGAGCCGTGAGGTTACTGGCAGAGTGGCTGGCGCCTTGGGGCTGAATGGAGCTTGGCCTGGAAAAGGTAGTAGGGGTGGGAGGGGGGTGCTGGGCCAGAGGAGCCGAGGGAGCCAGGGAGGAGCTGAAGTTGGGGCGGAGGCTGGAGCCAGCTCAGTTGGGGCCTCGTAAGCCGTGGCTGGGGTTCTGATGTTTGCTATTTAAGCCAGCACCTACTGGAGGGTCTTGGGGAGTGACACCCTGATCTTTTGGCTCAGGCCTTGGAAACACCCCCCATTAACAAACCAAAGGGGCTTATAGTGGGGACCCAGGGTCCAGGAGGCTGTCCCCTCCACGCCTCTCATCACCTTGTCTAATCCAAGTGTGGGCCTCTCAAAGGACAGGAGGTCTTGCTCAAACACTGATTTACTCCAGCACCCCGAGAGAGAAAAAAAGCATCACTTGTACATTTTCAAAGTCATGTAGTGTGTGTGTAAAAATTGTAAAATAAAATACAGGGCATCAGAGAGATTTCTCTATGGCTGTGTGTGGTTTTGGCATATGCTTCAAGGTCTTTTCTGTAATGTGGGATATTTAGGAGGAAAAATATAAGAAATGCTGAAATAATGGAAAGCATTTGGGTACTAGGGTCAGCCAAACCCAAGTTCAAATATAACTTCTGCCACCAGCTAGTTGTGTAAACATAAGTAAATTAGCCTCTCTGAGTTTCAGTGTCTTCTATAAAATGGGGGGGAAATAGCGGGGGCAGGAAGCAAGGGGCATGGATTAAGCACAGTCTTCAGAGGCATACGACATGGGTTTGAACGCCATCTCCATTAATCTCTGATGGTGTGACTCTGAGTAGATAACTTCACTTCTTGGAGTATCTGTTTTTTCCTCTGGAAAAAAAAAAAATGGGACAATAAGGGCTCAAGTAAGCTTCATAGGACTTAGGTAAGCTTCATAGAAAACAATACAGCAGGCTGGATGCGGTGGCTCACGCCTGTAATCTCAGCACTTTCGGAGGCCAAGACGGGTGGATCACTGGAGTCCAGGAGTTCAAGACCAGCAGGTGACATGACAAGACCCCATTTCTACAAAAAATACAAAAATTAGCTGGGCATGGTGGCATGCTCCTATAGTCCCAGCTACCCGGGAGGCTGAGGAGGAAGGAACACTTGAGCCCGAGAGGTGGAGGTTGCAGTGAGCTGAGATCATGCCACTGCACCCCAGCCTGGGCGACAAAGTGAGGAAAAAAAAAAAATGTAGATACAGGGCTTCACACAGTGCCTGGAACATTGTAGGTGTGTAATAAGGTGGGTTTGCCTCTGCCTTGGTTTCCCCATCTGTAACTGAAGAGGTTGGATTAGATGGTTCCCTGAGGCCCTTCCCAAGTTCGTGATTCTAAATGTATTTAAAAGGTGCAAGCTGACAGTGGTGGCACACTCCTGTAGGTCCAGCTACTTGGGACAGAAGGCTGAGGCAGGAGGATCACTTGAGCCCAGGAGTTCAAGGCTGCAGTGAGCTCTTGCACCATGCACTCCAGCCTGGGCAACAGAGCAAGACCCCCATCCCTAAAGAGAAAAGAAAAATAAAGAAAGGCCGTGGAAGAGTTAATCTGCCTGGATTCCTTGGGGCCTTAGTGCCCCTCTAAGCACCCTGCCCCCAGGCTTTCTCGACACCATTGTGTAGAGAATGGGGTGAGGGTGGGGCAGGGCACAAGCTGGGAGCAGGGCTATTTGGAGCCTTGTTTTTCTTGGAGGTGCTGTGGAGGCGAGGAGACTCTCCTCTCCCTCCCTTCCTCTAGGTTTGGAACTAGAATCTAGTCTCCCCGCCTTTATTTCCAAAACATTTCCTGGCTGTAGCTGCCAGCACTCCTCTGGGACTCCAGGAGCCTTCAGGCTCCAGCTGAGAAAACCCTTCCTCTCTGTGTGTCTCAGACACACACCCCTCCGCCCAGGCACTGGGGCCTACCCCGAACCACCTTTTGCAGAGAGGCATTCCCTCTTTGTCCAGAGAAGCTGGTGCAAGGCCATTGTGGTCAAGAGAGCAAATCCACCTTCCTCTTGTGGAGCCTGTGTGGCTGGGCATGGAGGTCAGAAGAGAGAGGGGAGCTGTCAACTGTGACAGATGGTTCCCTTTCTCACCCTCTCTCTCGTCCGGCTGGCTCTCTTTTTCTGCCTGTCTTCAGCTAGCTGTTTGCAGGATTCTCATGTGCTTTGAAGACCGGCTTCCACTTCCTTCCTCCCTCTCTCCCTACTGCAAAATGTTTGTAGACTGCAACTTTCCAAATCATTTCGAACCTGCTTTAAAAATTCAGTTTCTATTCTGGGGTTCCCAGATGTGCTGCAGCTCACAAATAAGGCTAATCAGTTTTCCAAGACCCTCATCATGTAGACAAGGGAAAGAAATGGTGATTCACAGGGCCTGGGGAGTGTCTAGGCCATAGTTTTCCAAAGGCACCTGTCATTTATGTAACGTTTCCACGATGTTTGCCGTATCTGCCTACCACCTCTACTATTATTTATGTAACCTAGGTTGAGCAAGTGTGACATCAGAAATACAATCAAACTGTGTCCTTATTTTTTCCTACCCCTCCCTACTTATAATTTAGTCAGTGAGGGGAGCTCCTCCTCCCCCTGACTGAAGTCTCCACTCCCTGGCAACCCTTCCATCCGAAGGTGAGATTTCTTCCTGCTCCCCGAGTGAAGGTGTGAAACGGGCAAGGCCATCTGCTCCCCTTGTCAGCTCACCTCTTTCCAAGTTGAAGGGAGGTGAGGTACAAGGACAGGAGGAGGATTTCTAGATGTTTCATGACTGGGGCGGGCCTAGACTACTCTGCATCTCTGTGCCTGGCAGACATTTAAAGCTATCTTTTCCATGAGGGCCTTTTGCAGGCTCTTTGGGAGTTACAATTTTGGGCCCTGTGATTGTCACACTGCTGGGATGTGGGCAATGAACATTTTCCTTTCTCTGTAAGCTCAGGCCTTCCCCTCAGCATCTGTTTCCAGGGTTAAAGATCCTGGAGGGGGCAGGAGGAGAGGTATAGCCAGCCTGTTTCTGAGGGGAACAGCCAGAGGCAGCCAAAAATCCTGGACAGGCTCTCCAAGAGCCAGGGGCCAAGCAGAGTCTGAAGGGAAAGGAGATTGAAGGCCCAGAAGGAAAAATGAGTTCCAAAGGTCAATGCCTGAGCAATGTGCCTGCCGTGCAACCAGGACCACAGCTGCTGAGGATCCCCCTAATACTCAAACGTCTGATTGGATAGCCACAGGCTGAGTGAGGACTATGAAGCCCACAGTGCTTTGTATCTGGAAAGAGAACAGATTGAAGTCTGAAAGGCTCAGCATTGGAGCTAGAAGGGACCCTAGAGACCATCTACTCTAGTGGTTCCCAAAACAAGGTCTCTGAACCTCCATCAGCAGCAACACTTGGAAACTTATTAGAAATGCAAACGATCCAGCTTCACCCCAGATCTAATGAATCAGAAACTTTAGGGATAAGGCCCAACAACCTGTGTGTTAACAAGCCCTCGAGGTGAGTGTGATGCACACTGAAGTTTAGGAACCACTGCTCTAGTCCAGCCCCTGCTGTTTAGGTGAGGAAACTGAGGCCCAGAGAGGGAAAAGGGTTTGCTTAAGGTCACAAAGCAAGTTACCATTTCATAGTTTATCTCCATGGCAGGAAGCCATGCCTGGGATGTTCCCCCTCCTGGTTTCATTCTTGAGAGAGAGGCTGTTAATTACAAAGCAACGGAACTGATTTGTTGAGAGATCTTGGGCAAGTTGCTTATTTCTGCTCTGGGTCTCAGTTTCTGCGAATGCATAGTGAGGGCAGGGAGTAAATACCTCTGGGTGTATAGCACACAAATCTCCAGTGGGATCATGCTATTGCTGCCGTCAGCCTTAAGGACACGGTCTAGCCTGGGACGGGAGGGCACAGGCTCTGGATCTGGATGGCCTGGTTCAAACCTTAGCCCTGCCATCTACTCATCGCGTGATGTAGACCAGGAGCGTCCAGTCTGTTGGCTTCCCTGTGCCACATCGGAAGAAGAATTGTCTTCGGCCACACATAAAATACACTAACATTAACTTTAATGTTATGAACTTTAAAAAAAGTTTATAACATTAAACTTTAAAAAATCGCAAAAAATTTTAAAGTGATGAACTTTAAAAAATCGCAAAAAATATCTCATGATGTTTTAAGAAAGTTTACAAAACTTGTGTTGGGCTGCATTCAAAGCCATCCTGGGGTGCATGCGGCCCACAGGCCCCGGGTTGGAAAAGTGTGATGTAGACACATTGCTCAACTTCTCTGAGCCTCCGCTTCCTCTCCTATATCTATCCTATAAGGGTATTGTGAAGATCAAGTAATGAATGGAAAGCTCTTAGCACATGCCTGGCGCACAGGAAGCACCTAGGGGAGGAGCTGCTACCGGCCTGCCAAGGTCACTCAGGTGATGGTTGACCTCCACTCAGTAACTGAATCCTCAGCCTTCCTCATGCGCAACCCTGAGTCTCCCGTGAGAAGCAGACTACTTTCAAAGTCACCTACAATTCAAACATTTCTACCCTTGTAGAACTGTAACTTTCTATTCATGCCATAGATTTGGATGAAACCATGGATCGTTTCTCTCCATTCACAGCTCCTCCCAGTCACCAGTCTCTGGGTCATAAGGTCTGCATCCATTTCAGCCACTCTGGGGGATGATGGTCTGATGATGAGTGCCTCACCCCCGAGACTCCTTCAAAGTGTATTCTGGGTAATGACTTCACTCACCCAAATACTTCCTCAAGATATGACGACTCTGTCCACATCACATCTACTTGAATGTGATGCAGGAAAGAGCAAGAGACAGAAATCCAGTTGAGTGTATCCCAGCTGCCTCCTCCTGTGCATCCCCTCTGACCAGACCCAGGCCAGCTTGGTGGCCACACTCACCTGTCACAGCTCTCTTGCCTCCCACAGGTGACCACCATGATCCCCTGGGTGCTCTTGGCCTGTGCCCTCCCCTGCGCTGCTGACCCACTGCTTGGCGCCTTTGCTCGCAGGGACTTCCGGAAAGGCTCCCCTCAACTGGTCTGCAGCCTGCCTGGCCCCCAGGGCCCACCCGGCCCCCCAGGAGCCCCAGGGCCCTCAGGAATGATGGGACGAATGGGCTTTCCTGGCAAAGACGGCCAAGATGGACAGGACGGCGACAGGGGGGACAGTGGAGAGGAAGGTAAGAGGCCTACACCTGCCCCTCTCGTTCCCACCGGGCTGACAGCATCCGGCATGCGAGGGACGTCATGAAGTTGATAAAACTAGTATTAATCCTCTTCATTATAAATCAGATTACTATTTACTTATAAACAGAGCTATATATATATATATTCCCCCCCACCTTGAGACAGAGGCTTGCTCTGTTGCCTAGGCTGGAGTGCAGTGGTGTGATCTCAGCTCACTGCAACCTCTGCCTCCTGGGATCAAGCAATTCTCCTGCCTCAGCCTCCTGAGTAGCTGGGGCTACAGACGCATGTCACCATACCTGGCTAATTTTTGAGGCCACCGTGTTGGCCAGGCTGGTCTCAAACTCTTGATCTCAAGTGATCCATCTACCTCGCCCTTCCAAAGTGCTGGGATTACAGACATGGGCCACTGTGCCCAGCCTCAGAGCAGTTTATTCTGAAAGGAACATGGGTATTGAATTTTGTGTTCCTGCCCCTGGTGCACCTTTGGGTTGCTAAGTGACTTTGGAAAAGTCTCCCAAAATATTACTCAGAACTCTTGATGATTGAAAGTGACAGAAACCCAACTTACAGTCCCAAATGGAATGTATTAGCTCATAAAACTGAGACATCAGGCTAGGCACAGTGGCTCACACCTGTAATCTCAGCACTTTGGGAGGCTGAGGTGGGCGGATCACTTGAGGCCAGGAGTTCAAGACCAGCCCAGCCAACATGGCAAAACCCCATCTCTACTAAAAATAGAAAAAATTAGCCAGGCCTAGTGGCGCATGCCTATAATCCCAGCTACTCTGGAGGCTGAGGTAGGAGAATTGCTTGAACCCGGGAGGCCGAGGTTAGAGTGAGTTGAGATTGTGCCACTGCACTTCAGCCTGGGCAACAGAGCAGGATCCTGTCTCCAAAAAAAAACAAAACAAAACAAAAACAAAACACAAAACAAAACAAAACTGAGACATTCAAGAGCCGAGCTCCAGGAATAGCTGAGTCCAGGAGCTCAAATATCATTGTCAGGGCTCTGCTTCTCTCTGTGTTTGTTGCATCCTCACAAAGGCTGGAAGTTCTGAAATAGCAACTGCTGGGCTCAGGCCCACATCTTCCTGGCTTCATCCACAGAGCAAATCTCAGAACAGCCGATTCTCCTTGGCCATATGTGTATCCTGGACCAATTCCCTTGACCAAGGAGGAGAGGTGCCGCCGTTTGCAGGGCAGGCTCATGGGGCCACCCCTGCGTGCGTGTGTGTGTATGTGTGTGTGTCTGTGTGAGAGTCATTGTGACTGACAGCCCTGCTAGGACCATATGAAATGAAATGGTGAACGGCAGCTCCCCAAAGGAAGGGATGCCAGGCAGACGGCAAGCAGAATGGATATACTCTACAGACCTTTCCGTTGTGACATTCCTTATATCTCCAAACTTTCACCCCAGCAACCAAGCACTTTTCAGTGTCAGCAGCATCCCTAAGCCTACATTTTAAGCAGTAGAGAAATATAATAATTTTTATTTGTATGGCATTTTCATATTGACAAAGCACTTTTGAGCATGTTGCCCATCTGACCATCCATATCCTGTGCCGGAGGGATTCTTATTTTCGCCATGTTGCAGATGAGGATACTGAGAGTCAGAGTGATTCAGTTGAGAGCAAAATATCATCCCTGCAAGAACATGAACTTTGGAAACAAACCTGGACACTGATTTTGGCAAACTATTTAACCTCTCTCCAAACCATGGCTTCCTCATCTCTAAAATATGGATAATAAATAGCACCTGTCTCACAGGGTTGTGGTAAAGATGAAATAAAACAGTGTATGAAGCACCTGTCTCAGCGTAGACACACAATAAATGTTAGGCACCCTGTAATGGACTTATTGAGCTCACATAACACACAGATAGTTGACTGCAAATCCAGGTCTTTTCCTGCCACACCAAACTAATTCCTTCAAAAGTACCTCCTCCCCAGGAGATTAGTATAAAAGTAACCATCATAGCTTTGACTGGTGGTATGTGGCGGGGGGGGGTCTTCCAGCGTGCTGGGCACTGGTGTCATGATATCCAATTTCCTGACCACAGCGGCAGACTCAGGTCTGGACATGAGCTCCAAGCAGGCCAGCTAGAGATTTCCCTGAGGTTTGCCTATGGATCCTGAGGGACAGAGTCTCTGCTGTTGACTTTTTGCCCAAATAGATAAAGCTTACCAGGAAGTTCTACCGTGTACTGGGGCTGCCTTTGGCCATCTCTTCTGCTATGTGTTGAGTCTCTGCAGAGAAGGAAGCCACCACACCAAGGAAGGCGGTGTTGGGAGCCCAGCACATGTAACCCAGACGAAGCTTGTCACCCTGGGGCCAATTCAGGATAACATCCAACTGCCCCCCATTACCACACACACAAATTCACCTCCAGAAAAGTCTTTCAAGAGTAAAGTCAGCTTTTCCTGAAGTCTCTCAAAAAAGGTAATGAAGAGGAGGCCAGGCGCGGTGGCTCACGCCTGTAATCCCAGCACTTTGGGAGGCCGAGACGGGCGGATCACGAGGTCAGGAGATCGAGACCATCCTGGCTAACATGGTGAAATGCCGTCTCTACTAAAAAGAATACAAAAAACTAGCCGGGTGAGGTGGCGGGCACCTGTAGTCCCAGCTACTTGGGAGGCTGAGGCAGGAGAATGGCGTGAACCCGGGAGGCGGAGCTTGCAGTGAGCCCAGATCGCGCCACTGCACTCCAGCCTGGGCGACAGAGCGAGACTCCGTCTCAAAAAAAAAAAAAAAAAAAAAAAAAAAATTGAAGAGGAAAGCACATTGTATAGTTCATGGTAGGACTTCCTGGTAAGCTTTCTTACCTATTTGTCTCCCACCAAAAACCCCAAGTCAAAATGACTTGGGGGCTGCATGGTGGCTCATGCCTGTAATTTCAGCACTTTGGGAGGCCCAGGCAGGAGTACTGGGAGGCCAGGAGTTTGAGACCAGCCTGGGCAACATAGGGAGGCACCATCTCTACAAAAAATTTTAAAATTAACCAAGCATGGTGGTGTGTGCCTGAAATCCCAGCTACTCAGGAGGCTGAGGCAGGAGGATGACTCAAGCCCAAGAGTTTGAGGTTACAGTGAGCTATGATTGCACCACTGCACTCCAGCCTGGGTAACAATGTGAGACTCTATCTCTAAAAAAAAAAAAAAAAAAAGATTCTGTCTCTACTCCTCTTCTCTTGGCCCCTTGGCCCCTTTTCCCACCTTTTGTTTATTTTCATTTTTTCAAGAGTTTTGTGACTTTTCTTAGTTTTATTTTTTCCCATTCTTTTTGTTTATTTTTAATTATATGAGTAATATACAAATACAGTCTCACTGTAATATATTCAAACAATACACATAAAGCAAAAGTCCTCCTTACTTACTACCCCTTCTCATCCTCCCCTCACCCTCCAGAGGTAACCACTATTAATTGGTTAGGTGTGTATGTTTCCTGGCCTTTTTCTGTGTATTTACATATGTGTTTAATAATACTGGGCATTGTCAGGCATTTAACGTAAGCACTCTGTTGCTGAAAATCAAGTGTTCAGTAACAAAATGCAATTTGGAAACCTATTTCCGAATTACGTAAAATAGGAAAAATTCAGATGCATTACAGATTAACTCAGAACTCTGAAACACAGTGAAATGCCTACATAAATACGTATAAGAAACAAAGTAACTTGTTAGGATGGAAAATGCCTGAAACATTACTTCCTTGACCACCCAGTTCGTGTGGGTGACATAACCTTGTGTCAGTGAACTCAAGTCATTATCCACAAAGGTTTTGTTTAAAATGTTGAGTTGAAGGGTCATAAACTAAATTGATTTTATACAATCAGTAGCCAAAAATGTTGTATTGAGAGAAATGTGCATTTTATGAAATATGAGTATGAAACATCAAAAAGCGTTCTAAAGGAAAACACAATTGGGGGAATTGTTCTGCAGGGAATGCCAGCTAGTATTTAGGGAATGTTTGCTATAGGCCAGGCACTCTTCTATGCGTTTAAATGGGTGTAGAAATATTTAGCATTGTGGATTCCTTTTGTTTTCCTAATTTTTATTTTTTAGAGATAAGGTCTCACTCTGTTGCCCAGGCTGGAATGCAGTGACACAATCAGAGCTCACTGTAACCTGGAACTCTTGGGTTCAAGCGATTCTCTCACCTCAGCCTCCCAGGTAGATAGGGCTACAGGCGCACGCCACCATGCCTGACTAATTTTTATATTTTTTGTAGAGATAGTGTCTGGCTACATTGCCCAGGCTGATCTCAAACTCCTGGCCTCAAGCGATCCTCCAGTCCCAGTTTCCCAAAGTGCTGGGATTACAGACATGAGCCACCATACCCAGCCTGGCTTCCTTTTAACATAAAGGCTCTGGCCACCTGCTCTTTCCTCTTAGTATATGTTAGAGAAGGTTTCATAGAGCACACGTAACTCTACTTTTCTTTTTTTTTTAACTCCTGCATAGAAATCCACAGTATGAATGGACCATAATTTTTTTTATCATTTTCCTTTGGATGGGCATTTAGTCGTTCCTATTTTTTGCTATTGTAAGCAATGCCGCAATAAAATCCTTGTACACGTGGGCAGGGCTTGTATGCACTAGGCAGGGATTTTACTAAGATCAATGTGTTGAAATCAAGGGGCTTTTTCTAGTTCTCTTCTCAACCCATTACCAGCACAGCCCGTGGAAGGATTGATCTGGCAGACAGACCAGACCCTTCCTTAGAAGGCAGGAAAAGGAAAGGGTGTGAACTTTTTGCCCTGATCCACAGTGATTTTTGAAGGTAAGTATCATCATTTCCATTTTCCAGATAGCTAGCATTAGGATTTACACCCACTTCTATGTGTCTCCAAAGCCTTCTTGTTCTTTCCATTACCCAAGCACTCCTTCTCCAAGGTTGGAAAACCAAGGCGCACCCCTCTGCCTAGGTCTGTGAGGACCGTCCATAACATCAGCTGCTCTGTCTTCCAGGTCCACCTGGCCGGACAGGTAACCGGGGAAAGCCAGGACCAAAGGGCAAAGCCGGGGCCATTGGGCGGGCTGGCCCCCGTGGCCCCAAGGGGGTCAACGGCACCCCCGGGAAGCATGGCACGCCAGGCAAGAAGGGGCCTAAGGGCAAGAAGGGGGAGCCGGGCCTCCCAGGACCCTGCAGCTGCGGCAGTGGCCATACCAAGTCAGCTTTCTCAGTGGCAGTGACCAAGAGCTACCCACGGGAGCGGCTGCCCATCAAGTTTGACAAGATTCTGATGAACGAGGGTGGTCACTACAATGCTTCCAGCGGCAAGTTCGTCTGCGGCGTGCCTGGGATCTACTACTTCACCTACGACATCACGCTGGCCAACAAGCACCTAGCCATCGGCCTGGTGCACAACGGCCAGTACCGCATCCGGACCTTTGATGCCAACACCGGCAACCATGATGTGGCCTCGGGCTCCACCATCCTGGCTCTCAAGCAGGGTGACGAAGTCTGGCTGCAGATCTTCTACTCAGAGCAGAATGGGCTCTTCTACGACCCTTACTGGACAGACAGCCTCTTTACAGGCTTCCTAATCTACGCCGACCAGGATGACCCCAACGAGGTATAGACATGCCAGTGTGGTCCGCCAGGCAGGGAGCAAGCTTCTGGACTTGGGCTTACAGAGCAAGACCCCTCAACTGTAGGCTAGGGGTGGGGGGTCCAGTGAGCAGTTCTAGCCTCAGGCTGACCTCCTCTGCCTCTTTTTTTCCCCATCATTAAATCCAAGCCTTTTTATTCATCTGACCATCTATTTATTCACTTCTTTTTAAAGTATCTACTATGTAACAGGCACTATGCTATTCTCTGAAAGGCGCAGCAGTGGACAAGACAGAGCATCTGTCCTCATGCGGCTTACATTCTAGCAGACGATACAATTTACAAATAACCAAGCAAATAACATAATATTATGCCAGGATAGAAATGAACATGCCATGGTTGACAGTAATAGGAATAACAGGAGACAGGGAAGAGGTGGAAATTTGTTTCTTTTTGTTTGTTTGCCTTTTTAGGTTTACTTACATACAGTGACTCTCCAAATTTTAAGTTGACAGCTCAGTGAATACTTTTTACTTATGTGCACACCCTGAAACCTCCATGTAGATCGCAGAACAAGCTATTTCCAGCCTCTCACCTCCCTTCCCCAAAGGCTCTCTTCAGACCCCTCTAAGTCAGTACCTGGAAAAGTTCCATTTTTGAGCTGAGTTCCAAGGAAGGAAATAGAGCAATGCAAAGGCCTCGGAAAAGAGGTCTCCCAGCAAAAGACTCTGCAAGTGCAAAGACTTTGACAGAAAAGAGGGAGGGGCCAACGTCAGAACTGAGAAGCGAGGCATGAGGCGTGAGGCTGGAAGATAATACAGAACCTCCCAGGCCATGGCAAAGCTCGTTCCACTCACAAAGGCTTATCAGAATGCAAAATGAGCACGACACTGATAAGCGGATCATCTTGAATCTGCTCAATGCATGAGTCAAGTCGGCCACAGACTTGAGCACTTTGTTATTAGTTAATCTTTTGCAGGTCCGCTTCTCAATGAATGAGATACACCAGGGTATGCACGTACGCCTGAGAACCGCTGCTCTAAGATGGCAGGAATGGATCCCACGCAAATGAATCGCACCCCAAGCCCAGGTGTTTCCAGTATGCAGGGGTCTGAGGGCTTAAGAAGCCGCAGTGAAAGTGCCAGGTGCTGGCCGGATGTGGTGGCTCAACGCCTGTAATCCCAGGACTTTGGGAGGCTGAGGCAGATGGATCACTTGAGGTCTTGAGGTCAAGAGTTCAAGACCAGCTTGGCCAACATGGCGAAATGTTATCTCAAAAAATACAAAAATTAGACAGGCGTGGTGGTGGGCACCTGTAATCCCAGATACTGGGGAGGCTGAGGCGGAAGAATTGCTTGAACCTGGGAGGTGGAGGTTGCAGTTAGCTGAGATCGTGCCACTGCACTGCAGCCTGGGCAACAGAATAAGACTGTCTCAAAAACAAAAGGCAGGTATTGAGAGCCCCATGAAACAATTTGCTGGAGAGAATTTTCAGTTGAAGCCACAGCTCCCTAGCAGCTTTCTCTGGCTGCCCGCCTAGAGAGATACTCAGGGACTGCGATGGCTGCACGGGATGGTTCTGGAAGGAGTGGCCATCTCCATAAGTAAAATGGGGTTTATTTAAAATAACTCCATTTTCTCTGGGCCATAAATGGTTTGGGATTGGGGTGGGTCTGAAAAATTCAGGAAAGGCTTTCTGACCCAATCAGATTGACGTGTGGGTTGGGGTCCCCTGCAGCACCCCTGTGGGAAGGGGTCAGCTTTGGCCAGTGAACAGTTCTTTTTTCCTTTTCTTTTTCTTACAAATACAACTTTTAGGAGAGCCTTTTGCTTCTTCCTCTTCCTTCCCCCAGGGATATAGGTATTTGAAGGCATTTGACTTAACCCTTTGTAGCCCAGGTAATAAATCCAAACTCAGCAAGATGGGCTGGACCCCAGAGCTCTGTGGTTGCCACTTTTTGGCCCATATTGAACCGATGTCCCCTTGGCCAGGGACTCCTCAGGGAGAGTGTGGGAATGATGGGGGAAGACTCGGCACTCTTTTGTAGAGGGTGGGGCAGATGATAGCGGAGACCTTCCAGGGCCCAGGGCTGGGGTCTTGTCCTCCTTGGATGTGGTCTAGGGTTGCTGCAGATGGTGGGTTTGTGGCGGGGCAGGGGGCAGAAGCAGATGATGCAGTTAGGTCTCTGGTAGCTAGTGATGTCAAGGATGAGCTCTCCTTTATCCCCTGATTCTTCTGAGGATGGCTGCCTCCTTGGTGAGCCACTTGGAGGTCTCAGGCTGATGATGCGGGATGGTGGCCCAGATGAGGAAGGGGCCTCAAGGCGGTGGCCTTCCCAGATGCACTGGGCCCCAGCCCTTCTTCCTAGCTATGGCTGATTGCCGTGGGCTTCAGCCACCAGGGCCTACCTGTAGGTCTCCACGTAGGTAAGCACCACAGAACCCGGTGCATCTTTGTGCTCTCAAATCGCCCTTGATCCAGAGGTATTTTCTCATTTAGAACACACTTTGAAAGGCAGCCATTCCCCTTCTGGAGAAAGCCTGGAGAATCTGCAGCTCCCATGATTACAGTGCAAACAGCACTAGACACACAAGGCCCTCACAGGCCAGCCCCATCCTGGGTGGAGCCTCAGGGCTCACCTGACAAATGATGGGGGTCGCACTCTGTGTATCTAGGGGGGGCTTCGTGGGCTGACTTCTGCATCAGGGCTATGATGAGGGTGGGGGAGGGCAGTTGAGGCACTCACCTCATGCACAAGATGTAGGAGAGTGACAAAAACCTCAGTAATCAATAGAAATATATGTATATATATTTTTGAGACAGGGTCTTGTTCTGTCCAAGGCTGGAGTGCAGTGGCACGATCACAGCTCACTGCAGCCTCAACCTCTTGGGCTCAATTGATCCTCCCACCTCAGCCTTCTGAGAAGCCGGAACTATAGGCCTGTGCCACCATACACAGCTAATTTTTAAATTATTTGTAGAGATGGGGGTCTTGCTATGTTGCCCAGGCTAGTCTCAAACTCCTAGTCTCAAGTGATCCTCCCGCCTCAGCCTCCCAAAGTGCTGGGATTACAGGTATGAGCTAGCGCACCTGGCAGAAATAATTTTTTTTTTCAAGATGGAATCTTGCTCTGTCACCCAGGCTGGAGTGCAGTGGTGCGATCTCAATTCACTGCAACCTTCGCCTCCCTGGTTCAAACGATTCTTGTGCCTCAGCCTCCTGAGTAGCTGGGATTACAGGCGCCCACCACCATGGCTGGCTAATTTTTTTTAAATTTTTAGTAGACACGGGGTTTCACCATGTTGGCCAGGCTGGTCTCGAACTCTTGACCTCAAAAGATCCACCCGTCTCAGCCTCCCAAAGTTTTGGGCTTATAGGCGTGAGCCACCACCCCCAGCCAGAAATAATATTTTAATAAATCAAAATTAACCAAAAAACTATGATAAAATATCAAAATGTTAAGTAAAGATGAGATCTGACAAGACCGGGATCAGGGCGAGGTAAGGCAGGGCGAGTCATGCAAGAGCAGCTGGATCCTGGTGTCCATCCGCACCTCTGGAGCCTTTGGCAGCCAGGCCTCGCAGGTGGAAAGGCTTTTTTTCCCTCCTGCCTGTCATCTTCAGTCGTGCCACTAGGGGGAGAACGTCGACTACACAAACCTCCAGGCCTGCGGCAAGGAGGCTGGGAGATCCACCCTCGTCTCAGGCTGCTTTCTAGATTCCCTGTCACAAAGCAGGTTGTTGTTCAGTCCGTTGAAAATCTATTTCAATTCAGCAGACATGTCCTGAGCACTCACTGAGGCACGGCTGGAGAATGCACCCGGGGTCCCCAAACCAGGTGGGGAGTCAGATCTATCTGGCACCACAACCTCATTCAGCAGCAGGACCTCCTGCGGGGACAGCTGCCATGCGCTTTCATAAAAGCTCCTCAGCCGATTCTAACCCGAAGCCAGCTTTGCCAAGCCCTGGGCCGGGCGGAGGGGAAAACTAACACAGGAAAGACTCCAGTTCTGCCCTTCAAGGGAGGACACTGTGTGTGCCTGCCTTGTCCTGGTGTCGCTTCCACAGCTGACCTCAGGCCGGGGTGGCGTTGAGAATGGAGCAGAGTGTGGGTTTGAAGGTCACCTTGCAGGCCCAGCTCCTCAACCACAGCATCTGAGGGTGCTCCCGACGAACTCTGTGGGTCCCCAACAGTCTTCTCTCCCTGCTCCAGAGACAGAGACCCAAAAAGAATTTCTCAGGAGGAGGCCGGGCGCGGTGGTTCACGCCTGTAATCCCAGCACTCTGGGAAGTCGAGGCGGGTGGATCACTTGAGGTCACGAGTTCGAGACCAGCCTGGCCAACATGGTGGAAACCCCGTCTCTATGAAAAATACGAAAAAAAATATATATGTATTCGCCGGGCATGTTGACAACTGCCTGTAATCCCAGCTACTCGGGAGGCTAAGGCATGAGAATTGTTTGAACCCGGGAGGCAGAAGTTATGGTGAACCGAGATTGTGCCACTGAACTCCAGCCTAGGCAACAGAGTGAGACTCCGTTTCAAATAAAAGAACAATTTCTCAGAAAGAGCCCAAAGATGGCTCTGGAAAATGGTGGGGTTTGTTTTTTTATTTTTTATTTTTTAAACATTCTCCATCTACTTTATACTTTTGCCTCAGATTGGCCCTGATTTAAAAACAATAATGAAGAGTTCAACTTCATCACAGGTGTTTATTTTTGCTGACGCCCTTGCAAGCTTCCACCACTCATTTATCCCCACCCCAAGTGGTTTTCAAGCTGATCCTGACAGAGATCCGAAATGGCTTCCTCATGTGAAATGTCCATATTCTATTTGGGGCTCTCTTATCCCATAAAACACACTTAAGGTGTGAGCTTCAGGACATGGAGATCAAGGGCCTCAGGGTGAAAGGCTAACGGGGTATTAATCCTCAACCTCATCACCGTTTCCTGTCACTTGGCAGAACTGTATGGGCAAATCACTTTTGAAAAGCTCCTCATTCCCTGGTGTTGAGTCTGGTTCTAGGCATCCTACAACCTGAACCCGAGGAGGGTGTAGAGGGTCTAGAAGTGCCACCTGCTATAGGAGTGTTGGCTGTTCAGCCTTGAGGAGAGAAGACTGGGAGTCCTGAAGGCACCCGCCCACCCCTGCAAGGTGGTCTCAGGGTAGAAGGCGCTGACTGCTTTGAAGAGTTGCAGACGGC